CCTTGTACACGCTGGAATCACATATGGGTACCAGTTCGTATCCCAGCTGCTCCACTTCCCATCCAGCTCCCTACTTGTAGCCTGGGAAAGCAGTCAAGGATGGCCCAAAGCCTTGGGACCCTGCTCCCATATGAGACCTGGAAGAAACTCCTGGCTCCTGGCTTCGGATCAGGTCAGCTTGGGTTGTTGCGGCCACTTGGGGAGTGAACCAGTGGACAAATCTGACTTTCCAATAAAAATAAATCAATCTTTAAAAAAAAATTCTCTCTGCAAATAGACACGCATCCTCTGAGATGAGATCCCAACTCCTGGGCAGTAGTGGGAGTGGGGTGTGTGTCTTACTAAGGACAGGTTCCACACAAACCTAACCCAGGTCTCCATGCAAGTACTTATCTACAAAGGGCAAAGGGGCTGAACAAGAATACACATGTGCGGCACAACTGCACAACGTGTGCAAGGCCACAATGACAGGAAGAGACATGCAAGAAGGGAAAGCTGACTTCACATCACCCAAACAAGGCACCAAGAGGGACTCCCAGGAAGAATGGCAGCAGCACGCTACAGGAATCGTGGAAGAACCAGAGCAACAGCTCAGAGTCCGAGGCAGAGCCTGCCCCTGGGGTGCAGATGCGTTGCTGCTGACAAGGTGGTTCTGCTGATTTTCAGGTTTCCGAGTCGTGCAGAACTACTGGAATTGTTCTACTATGTGCAGGCAAGCCTTCAGCTTGAAAGAAAAAGAAAGCCACGCAACCCTCCGGCCTGTGAACATTCTCAAGCTTTGCTCTCAAGTAGGTGCCAGGCAGGTGTGACTTTTAGACAAATCTCTTGTCACCTCATGGACATTACTCTGAGTATAAAAACAAAGGCTGAATCATAAAGCATATTAACTTCTCAAACATTCTTCATTTGTACTCTGACCAAGGTACCCTAGATGACTGTTTAATGAAACCATTATGTTGTTAGCTGGACTTTCTCATAAATATTTACAGATCTGATTACTGATTCCCTTAGACTGTCACCCTTGGCAACTCTTACGCACTGTTCAAAAATATGTGCTAACATAATATCTGAACCAACTGTTACCAAAGGTTACCAAGAGGAACTAAATGCTTTCTTGACAATTTCAAACCATCAGTGCAATATTAGTTACAGGTGCATGTGACAGTAAGCAGAAACCAGACAGAGGCCTGAATGGCCTGGCCTTACTGTCATCTGTGCAGCTCATGGGCCTGGGGCCGGAATCCTCTAATAACACTTCCAAGCGGTACATTTATTCATTATGCAAATACTAAGACTGAAGTTAAACACCTTTCCCAGGACTGACAGATAGCAATTAAGCCACATTCAGTTTAACGTCACAGTCCAAGCAAACTCCGATTCCAGAAACAGCACATCCAGCCGAGCATGCAGACGGCCCACTGCAGTCACCTGCTAGGAAGACGGAATGATCAATACCCTCACCATGTACAGGCTAAGCAATGGTAACTCCCAGCAGAAGCTTTGACACTTCATCAGCAGGCCTCTGGACCTCTTTGTGCTCTACTTGGAAGAGGACTAGAAACAGGCCAAGCTGAGCCTGTCAGGCATTCTACAAACTCCTGCACGACAGACCAGCCTTATCCAGTGCTAAGAGAACCAAAAGGTAGATGAAGAAAGCCACAGAAATGCATAAAAACTTGTCTGTTTAATATCTGATTCCTGGTGGCTTTGGTTTGCTCAATAAGGGGAAAGGCCCATCAAGAAAAGAGATTGCAAAAATTGAAGACATGAAAACAAGGAAGAGGCTCTAGAAAAAGGGTGCAGTGTGGGACAGACTCAGGTCAGATGTCATCAGGACCATCAAAGGGCCTTTGTTTTTCCATTTATCAATTTCATGCAGAAATCTGTATTTGTAGCTTCTCCCAAAAAACCAAAACAGGTGGTAATGTTGGGTTACCTGCTGGCACCCATCAGTAGGCTTCAACAGGGCAGCCTCAACCTCACTTGTCTGTCCCAGCTTCTTCCTGGAGGAACCTCCGCAGAGCAAGCATGGAAAGGGGGCAACAAACAGCGCTCTGAGAGGTGGCTGCGAGGGGTGGTGGGTGACCCTGCCTCGCCTGTGGGCTCCACACGGGGACATGGTGAGAGGTGGCTACAAGGGGTGGTGGGTGACCCTGCCTCGCCTGTGGGCTCCACACGGGGACATGGTGAGAGGTGGCTACAAGGTGTGGTGGTGACCCTGCCTCGCCTGTGGGCTCCACACGGGGACATGGTGAGAGGTGGCTACAAGGGGTGGTGGTGACCCTGCCTTGTCTGTGGGCTCCACGTGGGAACATCAGCAGTAGCATTGCCCTCTCTGCAGAGCAGGGCTGGGCACTTTTCCAAGAACAGCTCTGTGAGCCTCAATGAAACGCGAAGCTGGTTTTATAAAATGAAAAAGGGCTGTAAGCTTTTGGTACATTTTCCCATGGTACTGTATCAAAAAAATGAGTACAAGTAGGCTAACTGTGCACATTCTAGAATAATTTATACTGGTGTCAGCATGAGCATATGTGAAATAAAACACTTGAGCAAGAAAATGAACCTCAACTTTTTCTTACCACTATAAGCAAAAACTGACCCCAAATGGATCTCAAATATGGTGGCAGAACAGGCCAAGCCACTGCCTGCCATGCCAGCCTCCCATGTGTGAGCAGCTAGAGCCCCACCTGCTCTACCTCTGACATAGCTCCCTGCTAATGTGCCTGGGAAAGCAGCATAGCACAGTCCCAAGTGTGTGGGCCCCTGTGCCCACATGTAAGTCCAGACAGAAGCTGCTCACTCCCAGCTTCAGCCTCGCCCAGCCTCAGGCATCATGGTCATTTGGGGAGTAAACCAGCAAATAAAAAGATCTATGTCTCTCCCTCTAACTCTGCCTTTCAAGTACATAAATAATAAATCATAAAAGCAAAACTAAACAAAAGCCTAAAATATTTTGCAAAACTTGCAGAAGAAATAGAGAATGTGAAGTTTTGGGTAGACAAGTTTCTTAGACTTGATATTAAATACAGGATCCATAAAAGAAGACAACGATAAACTGAACCTCATCAAACTTTAAAAAAAAAAACCCTCTGCTGTTTGGAAGACATCATTAAGAGAATGACAAAGCCTGGGGAAAACATCTGCCAGTCATACAGCAGCACGGGCGGGTACAGTCGTTAAAATGCCACTTGGGACGCCTGCACCCCATCTTGGGATGCATGGGTCTTCGTCCTGCTGTTTCCACTTGCAGCTTTCTGCCGATGGGACCCTGGGAGGCAGCAGGTGACAGCTCAAGGAGCTGTGAAGATGCCATCCCCAAGAGGGCCCTGGGTTGTTGGGAGCATCCAGGGAAGGAACCAGTGCAGGAGAGCTCTGCTTGTGTCTCTGTCCCTCCCACGCTCTTCAAATAAAAGAAAAGACAATTCCCTGAAAGACTTGTACACGAATATTCACCACCATTTCATTTGTAATGACCAAAATCTGCAAATTAACCCAGAAGCTATGGAAAATGGATAAGCACAATGTAGTTCTGGAATACTACCAACAATAAAAGGAAACTACGGAGACACACAATATGAATGTCAAAGTAATTATGATTTAAAAAACCAACCAAAAAAAGTACACCCTATATGATTCTATAACACAAGATTCTAGAAAACAGAAATAGCATCTATAGCAAGAGAAAGCAGATCAGCGATACTGTGGTGTCTGGAAGCTATCAGAAATGGCCAAGGGGACGTCCGGCCAGTCATGTGTATGCTCACGCCCCCAAGTGGGACGGTGGTGCACATCAGAACAAACACAATCAACACAGCATTCCACATTGGTGCAGTTTATGGTTTATGTGCCTCCTCAACAGAGCTGGTTTTTTTTTTTTTTTAAAGCAAAACAATGTGAAATGTTCTACAAAAGACAGGTGATGCCAGTGAGGAACTCACTGAGTAGTCACGTATGACGACACCTGCCACTCTCTAAGAGACCCAGAAGACAGGCAGAGCAGAAGCAGTTTGGGCCAGGTCTGGAGTGAGACGGCTACACAAGGACACAAATCAACACCTGTTCTGAAAAGATTAACAGGGACAGTGTGGAAAAGAGCTGGTGAGCTCAGGTCCAACTCCTGGCCTGAACGACCTCCAAGTCACGGGAAGGCTCTGCTGGGCAGGGACAGCGTGGGGGCACCTTTCTCTGGGCATGTTCTGAGGCTGACCAGAAGTGATCATGGAGGGAGCAGTGAGGAAGCGGAGGGTGGACGGGAAGAACACAAAGGCAGAATATCAGATTAACAAGACAGGAAGAATTCAGGAGAGGATATTGCTAATGTCTTTTCAATGTTGAAGTTAACTGAGAGCCAAAAAACAAAAGTCCCAGCAGCCCCCTCCATAACATGTCTGACCCCGGCAGGCCTGGGGTCAGAGCACACACCAAGAGCACCGCAGTGCAATCAGAGAGTCCTGTCCAGGGATCCGATGCTCACGAAGACCCAAGGAGAAGCGTGATGCAGTGCTGCTCGCAGTACGAAATCCCAAGACACAAACAAGTTTTACAAGATACAGACTCAAACTGAGGCCATTTTCAATTTTAACAAAATTTCAAAAAACCTAAATATAACCCCCTGCATTCAACAGAGAAAACAAGACTTCTTTTTACAAAAATAACTAATGTGCTGTAAGAACACCAAATTCTGCCTCTAAGACTGCGAGCACAGGAAGGCGCCACATCCGAGCAAACCAACACAGCCCTCAGCCTAGTTGGCCCTCAGCTGCCCACTGTGTCACAGGAGCGGCCTGAAACAACCCGGCACTTAGACTGAAGCCGTGTCACTGGGAAATGAGAAACACAGCAACTCGAGCTTTAAGTGTGCAAAAACACAAAACTACATCTCTTCTTTCCTGTATCAACTGGGTGATTCCACGAACAACGAGTTGAGTCAACCCGGATTCCCAGTTCTACACATCCTCTTTTTAAAGCCGCATGCACGAAGCATGACACGCAGCACGTACCTGTCTGGAAGGCAGGATTCGCTCCAGGGTACATGTTGGGAGAGTAGGCAGGAGCAGCTGCTGCGTAGCCCATGGGGAAACCAGCTGAAGAAAAGCACACAAAACAATCAGATGTCAGCAAGCGCAGGAATGACGTGATTTCACACCTAGAGCCCCAGCAGCCCCACCATTCTCTTTCTTCATCCTATCTCCACATGCTGACCTAAGGGGCCCCAACGGCTTATCTAGAGATGTCTTCTTTCCTCAGAACACCGATGAAAGTAATTAAAAAAAAAATAAAACTTAAAAGGGAGCAGGCAGTTAACATAGCTAAGATGCCCACATCCTATCTGAAGTACCTAGAGCTCAATTCCTGGCTCCCCTCCAGACTCCAGCTTCCTGCCAACACAGACCACAGGAGGCAGTAAGGGCTGCAGTACCACAGGTCCCGCTAACCACGCAGATCTGCACGAAGCGCCCAGCTCCTGGCTTCAACCTTAGCCTGCCTCCGCCCTACTGCCAGCCACTGTGGACATTTGGAGAGAACACTAGCAGATGAGAACTCTCTCTCCCATCTGTATTATCTGTCTCTCTCTCTGAGTCACTCGGTCTATCAAACTTTAAAATGATTTTAATCAGGTCATAATCATGTCTTTTAAATTTGTACATGTCTTTTAAATCTTTCCACAACTGGAAATATCAGCAGAAACCAACAAGTCCACTGCTTCAGAAGTGGCACTATGATGCCACCCCGAGACACCCAGAACCCACTTCTGAGTGCCTGGAATCAAGTCCTGTCTTTGCTGCCCAACCAGCTCCGCACCGCTGGACGGCAGCAGATGCTGGGTCACGTGCCTGGGTTATGCCATATCCATGAGACCCGGCTGCAGCTCCTACTTCCTGGCTGCAGCCCAGCGAGCCCAGCTAAGGAGTGAGCCAGCAGCTGGAAAACATCTTTATGCCACTCTGCCTCTCTCATAAATTGAAAAGAATAAACACCAAAGGGGGGGGGGGCTCAAAGAAGACGCCACACCCTAGCACAGCCAAAATCACAATTAGACAAACTAACCCTCAAGCTAAATTCAAAAACTCCTCAGACTACGTGAGCTGTTACTCAACAGAGCAGTTCACAACACTAGAGGCCTCACCTGCCGGCTCCTGTCTCACGGGCCTTCACTGAACGTCGTGAAGAATGGGGATCCAAACCTAGCTGACATCCAAGCGCCTGTTTTTGCTGATGCTAACAAACAGCAAAAAGTGTTTGGTTTTTTTAAAAGATTTATCCATTTTACTTGAAAACCAAAATTACAGAGAAAATAAGGAGAGACAGAAGCTTCCACCTACTGGTTCACTCCCTGAATGGCCACAATGGCCAGAGCTGAGTCCATCAGGAGCCAGGTGTTCCTTCCCGGCCCTTCCAAGTGGCACATTTTTATTTAAAAGATAGAAAAACTTAGGGCTGACGACTAAGGCATGGCAAGTTAAGCCACCGCCTGCAGCGCCTACATCAGATACAGGTGCCAGTTCAGTTCCCAGCTGCTCTACTCATCCAGCTCCCTGTTAATGGTCTTAGGAAAGCAGCAGAACAGGGCCCACTCAGGAGTCCCAGGAGACGACCTGGAAGCCCCAGGCTCCTGGCTAGACTGGTCCGGCTTCAGCCACTGCAGCCATGTAGGGAGGGAATCAACAGACGGATGGTTCCTCGGTATCTCTCTTGCAATAAAATAAGTACATCTTTAAAAGATATACATTTTAAAAGGCTAGCCATTTTTTTTAAATTCGAAGGCACTGTTTAAAACTTCTAAACTCACTTTGGGCTTCTTCACATTCTGAAATTTTTTAAGATAATATTTTATTTTATTTTTATTGGAAAGGCAGATGATACAGAGAAGATTCAAGGAGAGAAAGATCTTCCATCCACTGGTTCACTCCCCACGTGGTGGCAACAGCTGGAGCTGAGTTGATCCAAAGCCAGCAGTTTCCTCGACACCTCCCATGAGCATACTGGGTCCCAAGGCTTCCCAGACCATAAATAGAGAACTGGATGGGAAGAGCAGCAGCTGGAACACAAGTTGGTGCCCATTTACTATCCTGGCACTTCCAAGGTGAGGATTTAGCCACTAAGCCACCACGCTGGGCCCCCACATTCTGAAATTCTAATCACAACTTCCATAATTCAAGATGCTCAGTCATGGGCTCGGCACGGTAGCCTAGAGGCTAAAGTTCTCACTTTGGAATCACTGGGATCTCATATGGGCTCCAGGTCATGTCCCGGCTGCTCCACTTCCCATCCAGCTCCCTGCTGTGGCCTGGGAAAGCAGTAGCAGATGGCCCAAAGCCTTGAGATCCTGCACCCACATAGCAGACCCAGAGGAGGCTCCTGCCTCCCAGCTTTGGATTGGCTCAGCTCTGGCCATTGTGACCACCATGAGAGTGAAACAGCGGATGGAAGACCTTTCTCTCTATCTCTCATTCTCTGTGTAAATCTGACTTTCCAATAAAAAAATATTGGAAAAAAAGATGGTCAATCATACACTCAAGAATGTCATTAAACTTCAAACACACATGTGTAATCACAAATAATGATCCTTGTGCAAGATGATCTTTTTATGAAAGGCAGAGTTAGAGAGAGAGAGAGAGAGAGAGAGAGAGAGAGAAATTAGCCTAAACCACTGCACCAGACACACAAGATAATCTTTGTCAACATAAATGAGAAACACTCTAGGCTAAACCAAGCCATGACAGTTCCTAACATGACCATGATAGAAACATCAAAGAATGCTGACTGCCATGTGTCCATACGCAGAGGGTCTCCATCACTTTACCAGCTCTGCTCAGGACACAAAGAGTGGTGAGGCCCCACTCCCTGTCTGCCTGACCCTACTCACAGTGGCAGCTGGGCATTAGAAAGCTGTTGAGGGCACACAGCCAACAAGATGGCCCAAGTCTTGACTACTACAAAAGGTCTAACTTCCCGAACCTGGAAATACAGTTGTCTTTAAGGAAACCACTGTAGAGGCTCCAAGGAAGGCATCTTCCAGGAACCCTGACCAAGGTACTCAAGGTGGTGTCATAATCCTAACGAACTGTGATGGCAACGTAACAGTAGCCAAGATTCTCCCATTTGAAAGGCAGAGTGAGAGATCCATTAAGTCCCCAAATAGGGGCAATGGCTGAAGCCAGGAGCTAGGAACGCCATCTGGGTCTCCCACAGGGATGGCAGGAGCCCAAGGAGCTGGGCCATCTTCCACTGTCTCAGCAGGCATCTTAGCAGAAACTAGAAGCAGCCAGGATTCAAAGTGGCATTCTGGGGCCCAGTGCAGTAGCCTAGTGGCTAAAGTCCTTGCTTTGCACATGTCAGGATCCCATATGGGCACCAGTTCGTATCCCAGCAGCTCCACTTCCAATCCAGTTCCCTGATTGTGACTTGGGAAAGCAGTCAAGAACAGTCCAAAGCCTTGGGACCCTACACCTGCATGGGAGACCCAGAAGAAGCTCCTGGCTTCGGATCAGGTCAGTTCCGGCTGCTGCAGCCACTTGGGAAGTGAACCAGCATTTCTCTGTCTCTGCTTCTCTCTGTAAATGTGATTTTGCAAGAAAAAAATAAATCTTAAAAAAAAAAAAAGTGGCAATCTCACATGGAGTACAAGCTACAGCTTAACCAACTGTGCTACAACACAAACCCCAGGCGCAGTTCTAATCAAAGAGTCTGAATAAGGCCCTTCCCTTCCATCCCTCCTCAGTTGGTGCTGCCAGTGCCCCGGAATCCCTGCCAGTGCCTGGTCCACATTCACCGACTCAGGTCAGTGCGAGTGCTGTCCCCGCTTCTTAAACTGACCCTTCCCCTCAGCAGAAGTTATTTTGGGCTTGCTCCTGGATTCTCACTCTCCCAAATGCCTTAATCAGACAACAGTGTGTGGCAGTCAAATGTTTTATCAACCCTATTCACTGTGGACATAAAATGCAGATTCCACCTGAAGCAGACTGGAAAACGCTCACTGTGAAGACCAGAGCAGTGGCTTTCCACAGGAGTTCTATGGACCCCACGGTTCCCAGGGGCTCTACCTTGAGAGGGGAAAGGATGAGCGGCCTCTGGAACTGCCCCAGTTCCCTCAGCTGCTGTGATGCAGCTCAGATGCCTGTACCTGATTTGGATGAGGTTTTTCTCTTTCTGAAACTCACACTGCAATGTGATCTTTGTCCCCACCTTCAGCTGCAGGCAACTGCCCAGGTTTCCTTGTACCCACACAAGTGTTACACTGATGGGAGAAAAGCAGCCAAAAGCTGGCTGGCATTCTGGGCCTGGTTCATGCCAACTCTGTGTTCACTATACCAGTGTACCAGTAGGGTAGCCAACTCTTTGATGGGGTGGAAGGGGCAGAGAGCAGATTCAAGACAAGCTGCAAATGGAGGATTGGGGCTGGGCCTAAGACTGGCTCACTCCCTCCAATGAGTTCTTTTGATGTGGGCAGAGCTGAAGCCACAGGCCTTTAGCAAGCCAGCCACTGTACCCACCAGTGTGCACAAGAGGCTAGCCAGGGTTGGGCAGGGCCAGGGGCCTAAACAGCCACTGTGCCTGGACTCCCCGGGCAGGCTGCAGCCTCGGCTGTGAGAGGAAGACCATCAATGGCTTCTGGCGTTGGCCTCAGCACATCACTTCATCTCACAGTCAACTCCCATCTCAGGGACCAGAGTCCGAGGGCGTGTGGTCTGGCCTCAGCGCCTACACAGCTAACTCCTGCGCAAAGACGCCAACAGCATCTCAGAGTAATGAAGAAGATGAGGGGACACAGCCACGGGCACCGAGTGGAACTTCTTTGGCTAGTGAGAAGGGTCCACAAGACAAGTGAAAGCGTTCTGAACCTGGGACAGGCAAACCCTGCTCCCCTAACTGGCAAGAAGTACTAGAGAAAACATGATAAAACTGTATCCTTCAGCAACCCATAGATGAAGAGTCGGAAATGAAATGGAACAGGCGAGTACCCAGCTTAAGGCCATGAACTAGAAACACATTCCCCTGCTCTTTGTAAATCCCACCTACCTACCTATCAACCAAACAGGGCCAAAGGGTGGTATCGTTAAACCACGCCCCTTCCCAAGGACAC